TCCCTCCCTCCCTCCTTCCCACCCTCTCTCCTTCTCCCCCTCTCTCCCCTCCCTCCCCTGCTCCCTTTTTTCCTTCTGCTGCAAGGAGCTGAAAATGATGGGCCCATTTGGGTGTGTAGTTCACATCATCTTCCGTCGCCAACCAAAGTGGGCTCCAGGAGTTAGAGAGAATAAAGTGTTGGGGTTCTCGGGGACATCGATAAGAAATGACAATTTTTTTTTTTTGGAACAATACAGGCAGATAAGAAGACGCCATAACGACGCTGGCGGCTGGCCGGTGCTGGGGCGTTGCCCCGTAACCAGTTGTTGGCAGGAGCGCAACGCGTGGTCAAGAGATCTGGGGGCAATTGTTGAGAGTGGAAGGCATTGCAGTGGGCAACGGCCGGGGGTAGTCGCTGGCGTGGATCAACACGGGCCGGAGCTGGGGCGGGTCGTGCTGCCCTGTAACCCCTAGGATGTTGGGGGAGCTGGGGCGGGTCGCGCTGCCATGCAACCCCTAGCATGTTGGGGGAGCTGGGGCGGAGCTGGGTCTTGCCACTTTTCTCTGGAAGATGCACTCATGCTTTTTTCGTTTCAGCAGTGGTGTGGCGAGGCCGATAATCCGAGACCATGGAATATATGTATAACGGACTCAAATAGAGGGCAATTCCAGTGATGCTTCAATGAGATAGATTCTGACTCCATGGAACATGTAGCAGAGGGGTCATGCCAGTGCGCATTTATCCATGCTCCAATACCACCGGGGTAGAGAGTCCTCTTTTTTGTTTTGTTTTGTTTTGTTTTGTTTTGTTTTGTTTTAAAGCTACGTTAGGAAGATTCTCTCACGCCCGGCCGGGCACCTGGGCATGACTTTTTGTTTTGTTTTTGTTATTTTTTGTTTTATGCGCTCTCCCACATGACCCCAAATCCGGGCTCATTTCGTTTTTTGCGAGTTGGCTGTCAAGCGGTGGGAGGGCGGGGAAGGGGGGGGGTGTTACAAACTGGTTTTCTAGGGGGTGGGGTTTAAAGGGGGTGCCTTAGTGTGATTCTGTTATTTTCTTTTTTATCTCCTATTCTGTGAGGAATTCTACTGTGACTCTCAGCCAAAAGTTGTTTGTATTGCGATCCTACACAACACTTTTGTTTTTCCGGGTGTTTTTTTTTTTTTTTTTTTTTTTTTTTTTTTTGCACGGGGACTGCCCGGGGTAATGCCGCGCCGGGCACCCCGGGCGTGTACCCAGTTGGGCCCCGGTTACAACAGCCTAGTTTTAAATGCTATTTCTTTTAAGCCCAACTAATTCAAGTACCTCTCTATTCCGGACAGGACAGCCTTTCAGGCCTTTTTTTTATTTATCATTATTTTATTTTATTTTATTTTATTTTATTTTATTTTATTTTATTCCTTTACAAAGATAAGTATCATTATATTATTATTACGCGAGGGCTTGCAACAAGGTGAATTCTTTAAGATTAAAAAAAAAAAAAAAAAAACGAGTGGGGTGCGAAGGCAGTTGACATCAGGTGATGTGTGGAGAAAGCTGTTGTTGCAGCCTGATGGGCAGGAGCAGCCAGCTTCATTCAAGAGAATCAAAGGAGACACTGAAAATAGTTAAAAAAACTATGAATGGCTACTGATCTCTTCTCGAATAGGAGCAGTCAGCTTCATTCGCAGTCCTACCAGCATCTTGGGGAGGGGTACCTGCATCTTGGGGAGGGGTACCAGCGTCTTGGGGGGGTCAGGGTCGCTGTCCGCTGGATGAACGGGAAGGGAAGGGAAGGGAAGGGATCTGATCATCTGAGGCCAATATCAGTCGAGCATGCTCACAGAGCCGTCGTGAGGGGCAGAAATAGGTGTGCAGGTTAAA